GAATATCAATGAGACAGGAATGCAAGATGAAATTACCTGCAGGGCTCAAACTACTGCAGGTTTGCAACACTTTAAAAAAATAAAACCAAACACTGAATGATGCGTGGAGCCGCCAGCGGAGAGCAGAGCAGAGAGAAGCGGTTCGGTTTAAATGGTCCAGCAGTCGGTCAGAGCAGCGAGAGAAGGTCAGCGGTGCCTTGCAGACTCATTACCAGAACTTCATGCAGTTTGAGACCAGCCACATCGTGGCTGTAGGTGATGCAGGGTCACCATAATATGCAACTGGCTGCATGTCGGTTTCCAGAAAGCCTTCAGTTTCACGTCTCACTTTAACCCGTTAATGTCTGGTTCAGTTGGAGCCAATGGATGTGTGTCCATCTTCCCCTCACTGTAGCTTTGAGGGGCCAGTTTTCCTAAATCTCTGCATATTTTGCCCCATCCAGATTACTTTGTGTTGCTCTTCTGTCACAATTAATAAAAAGGTTTGGACCTCAAAGTTTGACCCTGAAATGATCGATCCAATCGATCTATGGTCTCATCACTGATTGGCTGACATGTTGTTGTTTGAGGAGGAATCCGCAGGCCAGTCAACAAATGGTCACTGGGACGGTGGGACATCGTTGGACCCGTGCAGAGTGCAGGAGCTCAGGGAGGCTCAGCTGTGGTTCTGCTGTGGTTCTGCAGAGTTTAGGCTTGAAGACCTGAGACGTGACTGAGCCTCTGTAAACCTGATTGGACGTTGTGGTGAAGGAGCTTTTAGAAGCAGATGAATCTGTAAAGGTGATGGAGATTCTGGACAGAAAGGAGGATCTGAAGGTGATCATGATGGCGTCCAGCTGATTCTGGACGCTGTGCTGCTGGACCTGGTGAAGAAGCTGTTACCCAATCAGAGGGAGAGCTGCTGCTGCTCAGGTTCTGACTGAAACGCTGTGGTTCGTTAAGACGTGGAGGCTGAGGGCGTGGCACCTTGTAAGGGTTTGGTGATGTCGAAAGATTGCTGGGAACTGAACTTTAAATAAAATGGAGGATCTGACAGACGCAACTAAACTGAGAGGCTTTTGTGATGTGGAAAAGTTGAGTTTAGATTTCACATTTGTTAACGATCTTCAAGGCAAATAGACAAATGGTTTGAGGATCTTCCTCACCTGCCAGGTGCTGCAGTCCAGTTCAAAGCCTCCCGGCTCCCTGTGAGTCCAGATTCAGTAAAATAGAGGCTGATCATCTCAAAGTGATCCACTGTTAGATGTCAGCATGTCTGTGAAATGTCAGCAGACTAATTCATGAGCAGTTAGAGGAGCCGGCGGCCCCTCGGTGATTGTGAATCTGAATTGACTGTGTCTTTGTCATATTATCAAATGTACAATAAGAGCCGGTGATAGCCCTCCTCCAGCCCGTCTGCGCCGCCGCGTGTCAGTATTCATGTTCCTGCTCCCCTGCCCCGACCTGTCAGCCCTGTCAATATGATTATTCCTCCGTCTAATTGAAGTCAGGGAGGCGCGCGAGGCTCGAGGTGGGGATAAGGAGGAGACAGAGGTGAAAACTTGATGGAAAGAAGAGACAGGCCGGCGGTCATTAGAGTCAGGTGGGAACGCCGCCGAGAGGAGAGTCATCAGCGTGGCTGAGAGGACGGCGCCCAGATCCGAAGCTTAGAACGTCTAATCTAAATGCAATTAGCACTAAAAACGCCTTCAATACCCAGGGTAAAGATTTAGGATTTAATGCTAAATGGTGTAAGATTTCTTATCCAATAAAAAGAAAAGACTAAATATTTTTAAAAGACTAAATATTTTAAAAAGACTAAATATTTTAAAAAGACGTCTCACTGGAGAGGAGAAGCTCATTTTTACCAAGAACAGACTGATAGGAGGTTTTCCTGCAGCTGCACAGAGCAAATCCTCACAGAGAAAAACCTTTACAGCTCATGTTTAAGGTGATTAAAGATGATAGAAATGGCTGCAGGTGAGCAGAAGCATGTATCTGAAAGCCCAAAAAAACATATAACCACAGTAGGATATTTCACACAGTGGCATTAATTTTGCCTCCACCTTAAAGTTTCATTAATCAACAGAATTGTAATTCTGAATGATGTCCTCTGATTTTATTGACTGAGAGGTTTTTGTGTTCCTAATTCTGTAAAAATGTTGTAATTCCTAATCTGAGCTGCAGAATTGGCTGAGATTAATCTGAATCCTGGGCTGCAGCTTGGAGCCGCCGCGCCGCTCGGCTTCACTTTGGGGTTGTGTGTCGGTTAACTGATCGTTCTCTGAGCGGCGCTCTCAGTCTGATGATGTTTGCTGCTGACCTTTAAACAACTCTGTCCCATCATCCTCTGCTGCTCTCGCAGAGGCCCGCAGGGATCTCACACACACACCCCCACACACACACACACACACACACACACACGCACGCACGCACATGCACGCACGCACGCACACACACAAAGTTACAAGAGAAGACAGTTATATAAGCTCAAACACTGCATGTAAAAATGTTTTTGCGAACATATGAAAGCACACACCGTGCATGTAAAAATGGGCAAACACACACATGAACACACACACACACACACACACACTGAGGCATCACTGTCTGCGGTTTGGTGGTAATGAGGCCTGTCATCCTTCCACTCTGCCTCCTTCTTCCTCTTTCATTCTCTCTTCTTTCATTGATCCAGTAACGGATCCCCAATATAACAACTAGCAGTCGCTGTGGGAGCTTCTCCTCTTCCTCATCCTCTTCCTCCTCGACATTCATCCCTCTGGACCATTTAAAAACCTACCACCACTTTCTCCTCCTCCTCTCCGTTGCTTTCTGTTTCTCTCTCCGCTGTCCTCATAAACCCTCTCTGCCCTCCATCTCCGAGTTGAGACAGTCTTGTTATGTCGGCTGACAAACGGACCGGGCTTTCTCCGATATTCCCCCAACGCCGAAGCCGCTAGTTTGTCCATCTGTCCGTTCGTCTCACCTGGTGGTCCTCTGCAAAAAAAAAACAGAGCACAAAAAAGTGGAGCGAGCTGAGAGGTTTCATCCAGAGGAAAGTTACTTTACATCAGTGCTTTTCAATTATGCCACCTCTGAATTCAGAACCTGATATTCATCTGTTCAATATTCAATCACCTGGTTATGAAAGCTGAAAATGAGCTGCAACAACTTATTTATTGCTTTAAGTCTTAGAAAAGACATCGATTTTGAATATTTTTTGATCAAATTTCGCAATAATTTTGCTAATATTGCAGTTAATCAGAAAAGGTGAAGGAGATGTGACATTTTGTAATGAATACAAAAGCAGGAAGTGGACTTCAGAGCACGGCATTCTGGGTAAATGCAAGCAGGACAAACCAGCGCCAGGGAGAGTAACGACTCGGAGTCTTTTTCTAATTACAAAAGAGGAATTTTACATGGATCACAGAAATTTCCAAGTTTTTTTTAGAAAATTTCTGAGATTATTCTAAACATTTCTTGGCAGAAATTTACTCCGTTTTTACCATGTGTCTCCTTTGCCCTCGTAGGGCTTGTGTGGACTGGTTCCTGGTTTGGCTCTTCAGTGAAATATAAAACATGCAGGATAATCACCACAACAGGAGTGCAGAGGAACCGGCCTTGTACCCTGAGAAAAAGGACAAAGTTTGAGTCGAAAGATTTTAACGTCACCTTCTGTGTCTCACCAGTAAAAGGAAAATATGTGATTTGTTCTGACTCGTTTTCTAATCAGGTTTTGATTTTACTGGCCTGCAGCTCGTCCAGCTGACAGCTGCTGGGTAAATAAGTTGGTTTTCAGTAAAAATGAATGTAGCCACTAACGTCTGTTTGGATGCTTTCCGCTCGACTCCCAGGCAGGAATCTGCTCACCTTTCGCTGTTTTTGTTGTTAACATGTTAAGATCTGACTTTTTGCAGGGGCTGCGTTGATCAGACAGCTGTGATATATTTCACTGTTTTCTGTTGACTTCCTGTCTTCCTCCAGAGATTTCTGCTCCGCTCTGACCTTTGTGTTCGGAGCCGTTTTCCTGCCGCGTCTGCGTTCGGATCCGTTTATTCGTTTGTTTCTGTGTGCGTGTGTGCGTTGTAGAACAGGGGAAAACAAATCACCCGCTGTAGTTCTCATTAGCAGCGGTTTGGTGTCAGCGCTGAGAGATCAGCTGTCAGCCTCTGCAGCTTCACCTTTTACAGACGATAATTACACCATTTAACGGCGCCACTTTCCCAACAAACACTCGGCCGACCCAAATGGGTCTGGTTTATTCAGGATAAGTCAGAATGTAAAAAGTGTTTTGATTTTTCATTGCATGTTTAAAACTGAGTATAGATGAAAGCAGATTTTGTCCAAAACAGTTTTCATTTACCTCATTAGTAGCAAAATACAGCATGTTTGGTCTGCACTTCATATGAAGCTCACATGTAAGAGCTTCCACTTGTAAAGTTACACAATCAAAAATTAACAGCATCATTTTGGTTATTTACCCAAAATAACCAGCAACAAAAAGAAAAAAAATAGTGGCTTATCTTTCAGTTATAGTTTGAAAGAAAGTGGACTACCACCATGTTTTTCATTAATTTATAAATTAGTTTATATTTAGTTTAAACTAAATATAGATATTTAATTCAAAGCTCAATATTTACATCATGGCTAAATATTTAGGTATGCAAATTCAGTTGCCTGTAGCCAAAAGTGGACTACCACAATAAAAGCTGGCTGTCGTGGACCTCTACTCCTGTTGCCCAGATTAAACTGATGAAGATAATAGTTTCTTTCCGTCTTTTTTGTACAACAGGTTTACTATTTAGCTTTTCATTAAATATTGTATTTGCTAGAAGCTAAATATTTAGTTTTGAATGATTTGGCCTTTTCTGATAATCTATTAATTATTAATTATCAGATTTTTTTAATTGGAAGAGACAAAAATACATAAACAACAACAGCATCTCAATAATGGATAAAGTCCCTGAAATGTGAATTATATTTTAAATGAAAAGAGAAAAAAAAATCTTTGACACATGAAGCATTTTAGAACAATCCACAGTTTTATTGTAGAAAAACATCAGTGGTTGGCACTTTGCTCTTCTGATAAATTCTGCATAAGAATCAATATGAGGATAAACATTTTTGCATTTAATGCTGCAAGTCTGACAGATAATAAAGACAGTTGGATAAAAATAACAGTCACTTACCCAACAGGTTCATAATCAATGACATAATGCAACAGTTAACATCAGTACTGAAAGAGCATTACAATTATCATCACTCATTCCACATTATTTAATATTCACTTATGCAAATTTGTGCTGTAGTTTTAGTAAACATGATATGATGCATAATCTTTTTGAAAATGCAAGAAAAATGATTTTGCTACAACATTTGACACTTGCCACTGAGTTTTTTTGGCATAAAGTTATAAACAGGCATTGGAAGTCTCATATGTTCAGATTAAATGCATCAGATTTGTTTCATAGAGCTGAACAATTTGGCACAGAGAGCAACAACTCCGGCTTTTATTATTTCACAGCATCATCCCTGCATTTATAATAATATCCTCTGTAAAAAAAAAAGTAAAATAGCCTCTTTGATGTTTACAAAAATACTTGATACACATACATGCCAACATAAACAATAGAGAACCTGATAAATAAGTATTAAATAAAACTGTTTTATATTTTCAACATTGGCTGAATATATGCTCACACATATTTTAAAAAATCTGTTGTAATTTGTGTCCAATGCAAAAGGTTTCTAGATTGTTTCTGTTCAAATTTTGTAAATACAAATCTTTTGGGAGCATATGAGAATAATAAAATATCATAATCTGATGGATCAGTAAAACTGAATTAACATGCATCAGTATAAGCCCTATTTTTTACACAAACATGCTCGTTCTTTTATTAATAACACAACTGCATAACATGTAGATAGGATGTCACCTTCCAACCAGTGTTGTGCATCAATAGGCTCTTTCACAAATAGAGTTTATATTTTCACCCCCTTTACCTTCAGTCCTGTTGGGGCTTAATGCAGCCAAATTGCCTGTTGATGCCTTTTCTACACATTCCAAGAGTCCTATCATTCCTGAGGAGAAAATTTTATCACTTGTTCAAAGATGCCTAATGTCGCTGATTTGCATCATAAATAATTTATATTGGTTGTTCATAATCTATTAGTATTAGATTTAATACCTACTTAACAGCTGAAATGTTTAATATGTAAACATTAAGGGATTTAATATGAAAACAGTCAGTAGTGCTTTCAGTGTGACTGTAATAGAAAAGATCAGATTTTTTAGTGTGAATTTTAGTTTCTTTTTATTGTGGTTTTTGACAACAGAAATAGAGAAACTTTTGGGAACTCTATTCTGATGCCTTACATGGTTTTAACTGAACTTTTACAAACATTTAAAAAGTTGTTTTGTAATTTTCATTCTTGATATGACTTATTAGCATGAATAATTTGTGAATTTGTTTCAACTGAACCTCAAACTAGATAATGTGAAGGCCAAACCTTCACTACTCAACATTGATTCTAAATTTGCGAGCTCAGCGGCTTTTTCATGTGTTAACATCTGACTCACAGCTAGCAGGATAGCATATCTTTGGATCATGTAAACTGCTAACATTAGCTAGCATTCAGTTAGCTTTTCAGTGATGTGTCTATTATGCTAGCTTGCTTGCATTTACACCATTGTTAGAATAGTTTTACTTGTTTAGCAGCTCAAATGAAAAACTAAGTTTCTCTAAGAAAATCCAAACATATATCACATCCAATGTGTTAGCATTACTGTTAAATTATGCAAATGAATTGAAAAAATTAATATGGCACTAACTGAAATGGAGTTTTACGTTTGTCCTCCAGATTGCGGCGTTTACCAGCCCTCCACCTCCACCACGAATGGCTCTTTGACCGGGATCCGGCCGCTGTTGACGATGACGCATTCAGTGTACGGCAGGTTCCTGTCATTGGTGTCCTGAAGCTCGATGGTGTGAACGACGGCCTGCCAACAGAGACACGCATGCAGGTCAGACCAAACTTTCACACTTCTAAAATTGTTGAATCAAACAACCAAGCAAATAAAGGGATGTTAATCACTGCAGATCCAAATTTTTAAAACTTTTTGCACATTTGTTGTGTTAAAAAAAAGTATCTGGTTTTCAGATTCTTTTAGACTTGGTTGAACAAATTTATTTAGTTACAATAGCGGAATTTGGGTGAGTTTATTTCGAATGCCGTACTCACCAGCATTAAATAATTTGAATAAAAGCAGCAATAAAAGTTGGTTTTGCAAGAAAATGTTTCTGGATGTTAGAATGTGCATATTATAAAAGTTTGGTTCTAAAACGATGAATACTCAGTGTTTTATTTAACATTTTCCATCAACAAAAAATTATGTCAATAATATTGTTAACCTGATTAAAAATCTAAAGTTCATGAAACAAATTTGTACAATTAATTAACTGCAGTTTGGGCCCAAACAAATCAGTCCAGGGGCCACAACTGACCCCAGAACCACACTTTGAACACCCTGTACCTAACAGAGTGCTTGACAGTTTTACAATGTTCTGAACTGAAGATCCAGTATGTATGTCCTGCACCCGTCCTGGTCTGGTGTATTTGAATAAATAAGAAATAATGTTCTTCCATTTTTGGTCCACTGGACGTTGCTTTGTGTCTCAGTCACATTAATCTGAACACTTTCATGTCTTTTTAAGGCATTAGTGTTCTGGGACATCTTTTAGTTCATCAACGTTTTATGATTGTAGTTGAACTTTGAGACATAAAAAAGGTTTGGTACAAGAACCAGTCAGTACATCGGGTCGCTGGTTCTACATATAACTGACACACAGAGCAGCGCTCCAGGCTTCAACCCACCATCCCGTCCAGAACTTTGCCGAAAACCACGTGCTTCCCATCCAGCCAAGGTGCTTTGGTGGACAGGATGAAGAACTGAGAGCCGTTGGTGTCCGGACCAGCGTTGGCCATACTCACCTGGTACACACACACACATTACAGTTGTTAAAGCTAAATCTGTGAAAAACAAACTTCCTGGTCCAGAACTATTTTCCGAGTATAGGTCCAAAGCGTGAGCTTACCCAGCTGGCTCCTATATGCTTCAGTTTAAAGTTTTCGTCTGCAAATGTTGTCCCATAGATGCTGTGACCTGGACAGAAATGTGACATGAAAAGATGAGTTTTAAAACTTATCAATGCAGATAAGTGCAGAGTTTAAAGCCAATTTAACACAAACAATAAGGACTTAAGATAGAACTGTGTGTTCATATGCATCCTAATGTAACATTCATAAAGCCAGTAGATTAAATCAGATTAATTTGTTTGACTTTTGTGTTTTTTTTTTTTTTGTAAATTAAAATGGTCAGTTTGGGTTTTGTTCCCACCTCCGGTTCCGTCTCCAGCTGTGAAGTCTCCTCCCTGGATCATAAAATCCTTGATGACTCTGTGAAACTTTGTCCCCTTGTAGCCATAACCTTTCTACAGAGACACAGATGAAATTGTTAGCTGTGAAAACTTCTTTGCTGCCAGAAAAGAATTATTTTATTACTGATAACACCTGCAAGAAACAATCCTGAACTCAAAGTGGGAAAAAGCAGAAAATATTACAAAGTATTTTATACAATTTAGAACAGTGCAGCATAATTTGATGCAATGAGAGTTTTTATTCCAAAACCAACAAGTTTGTTTGAAGGAAACTGTAGTTTAAATCTGGAACAGATTAATTCTGCAAAAAGGTCATCCAGATCCATTTTACTCTGGATTGAAACTTTTCATTCCTTTTTAAAATTTTCCACTGCATGAAGAATGTTTTATTGTGCAGGCTGTGTTGTTGTACTGTACCTCTCCTGTTGCCAGGGCCACAAAGTTGCTAACAGTGAGCGGGACAACCTCTCCAAACAGACCAATGACGATGCGGCCGACCTCGTGACCTCCCACTGTGATGTCAAAAAACACCTGGACACAGAAAACACAACCTTATTCAAACTTATTTATCTGCAGCTTTGATTTGTGAGAAATAAACAAAAGTAAAAATTATTTAAAAGCATTTATTCAAAAATTCAAATTGTTTCATACTAACTATTTAGAAGTACTCCACACTGTCCCATGCAATGCTTTTAACCTCAGCTGTTTTTAAATCAGGACTATTCCAGTTATTAATTCAGGATAGGAAAAAATCCCACTTAAAGAAAATATGCCAGTTAATAAAACCTCCTTTATGGTTATTGTCACCCCAAATGATTCAGATTTTAGGAATCTTAATTGATAATCCATAATTTTTTGTTTTTATTTTTAAGTGAGGCAGATTTATGAAGATCATAAACCAGTCGCTCACATCAACTAACTACAGTACACAAGTTTCCATAATACAATATTATAGAAAACTTATTTATATTGGAAGTTATAGAGAAATTTTGTTGGATTTTTTAGCAGAAAACTAAGACCAGTAACTGAAAATGACAAAAAACAAAAAGTTCATACACATCACATCAGGCTTTACCATGCAAACTTTATTTGTAAAGCACTGAAAAACAACCACAGCTGAACCAAATGCTGCACATAACTGCATACTAAAACCATGCATTACAAGAAAACACATATTTAGTATGCAAATCAAATACCAAAAAACAAACAAATCAAGGTCAAACTAAATCTGGGGTTGGATAAAAGTTGGTTTTAAATAGTGGTGGGACAAAATTTAAATCTTTAATTGAATTAATTGGAGGGTGTGTAATTATTTAATCACAATTACTGAAAAACATCAACAAAATAAAAACCATTTTCACTTCAAAATTCCTTTTTGCTGATAAGTTATTGTTTAAAGACATAATACTGACATTGGTGCAAAGTGCTATTTTACTCATTAGAATAGCATTTTGTTATTAGCATTAGCATCTTTGCTGCTGCTACATTGTTAGCATTGAGATGCTATTTAAAGTTTGAATAGTTTTGCTGACAGGCTATCTTCTTTTAGGACAACTAAAAGGAGACTGGACAAAACAACTGTCTTTTCCAATGACCAATTAGATTGATTTAAAGTAGAAATTAACCCCCAGTGAGCCGAGAGAAGCGGTTTGTCTTCCATCACTGTCGTAAGTAAATATGTGTGTCAAATTACTGGTGTACCAGAAACATGTGAATGCAAAGGTTCCTGCACAAGACCTTTATATGTTAATAAAACAACAAACAAAAAAGTGATTAATTGCATTAAAAGTTTTAACATGTTAAAATCTATATATTTAATTGATAAAAGAAAATGTATATTTAAAAGTCCTGCCCATAGTTAATTTTTTTTTAGAAATGCTCTTTTCATTTTTAACATGTACAAAGTCTAGAAAACTTTATTATAACCTTTATCAAATAACTGTACTTTACATGCATCCCGAAATTAAAACTGGCACCAGCCCCCTGGCTGCTTTTATAACATTGTGTTTGCTTCTTTACACAAACTGAATCAGTTCACTGAACCGTTCATTCCTCCAGTGGCCTTTGTCGGATTTAGTTCTATTTTTATGGAGGTCAGAAAGCAAGCAGTATGTTTCTGTGTGTCCTGGGAGGTTACAAAAAGTCAGTTCAAAAACTCAATAGGACTGTTTCCAAAATTTTAACTCAGTTATCTTTATTAGATTTTTAAATAAATTTAGCAATTAAAAGTTATTTTTTTAAGCCTTTCAGAAATGATGGTTCCCATTAAACATGCGTATCTCAGCTCCCCATGAGGGGATATAAACGTGTGTGTGTGTGTGTGTGTGTGTGTGTGTGTGTGTGTGTGTGTGTGTGTGTGTGTCCTGCAGGCAGACGCACTGCGTATTAAGCATAATCTGAGTGGACACGTGTACAGCTGTGAGTGTGCGTGTCTGTGCGTGGGCTGGCCCAGATGTTCTGGAAGAATCTGCAGATCCACGGAGAGATAAAATAGCGGTTTGCTTCTTTCTGCTGATGCGGGACCTTCGCTTCACCTGTATGTGCGCGAGCTTCGACGCACGCACCCGCACCGTGCGTGGCTCCCACGCAAAGAGATGCCGGTGCTGAGCGGGGAGGCGGCTGTGCGGTAAAACAGATGCGGTAAATGTGTCACCCACCTTCTCCGTAACCTTCGGTCCTCTTCGTGAAAAGGCGCCAGACACCGAGTGCAGCGCGGCAGAGACGCAGATCAGCGCGGGGAACAGCGACCGGAGCTCCATGGTCTGAGAGCCGGACTGAAACCGGCTGGAAGTGACGGCGAAGCGGCGGAGAGGAAGGAGGATCACGGCGGCCGGGAAACTGCGATCCAGACCCGCTACATCAGCAGACCACGCCCCCTGGTGGGCCGAGCCTGGATCACAGAACCGCCCATAAGAGAATCAGGAGATTATATCTGGTTTATAACAATAACATAGTTATGCAGCAAGCAGTTTATTTTCTATTATTCGTGACAGAAGTGGATAAAAAGCTTATTAATTGATCAACTGTTTAAATTTACATAAAAATATCACAATTTGGATAGAAACATAAACATAAAATGGTTTTTGAAGACCATTGAAGACATTACACAAAAAAGTTGATTTGTGGATTAATTACACTTTAAAGATGGGAAAGAGAAGAGAACATTCTATTTGAGTGAAGTAGATGTGTGTTGACCAGCTTGACCTGAACAGGCCACTCAGTGGTGAAGGACAGGCGCTAATGGACAGCAACAGGCGAAACACTTGAATGACACAGAATCTAAAACATGCAAATACAAAAAACAATTAACAAAAAATGCTACAAATAAAAATAGAAGCAGAAAGAAAAATGCGGCAAATATCACAAACAACAGTAAGATTAAAACAAACTGATGACACAGAATGGAAGTCCTCCAGACCACTAGGGGGAGTCGACCGCCAAAACATGGAGCTTGACCGTCAGGAAGGGTGGGAGTTTAATATATAAATTTTTGAAATGTTCCTGAATCAGACTGAAACACCTGGCTGGTTGAACTGGGTGCTGAGCAGAATCCATTAGTTCTTTCCCCTCACTGATTAAACATCCTCAAATTCAGTTTATTTTAATTTTCCTGTAAATATGTTCCAAGTAAAAAATTAGCCTATATGCAGAAAAGTTCAAATATTCTTAAATAGACACTTTTTTGTTTGAGGCTAAAACCCTGTGTAGAATGTTTGTATTTCTTAAATCGCCCCCTACTGGCAGGTAGGAGTACTTCTGATGGACGTCGTAGTTTTATTTTTTTTTGTAAAAAAAAGAAAAGGGAAATTGTTCAAACAACCAGCTGAAGGTCTTAAATGCTGCATCAATATTTCCTGTCACTCTCAGACTATAATCTTTGTAACTAAATCCCATTAATAATCTCATCCACCGCTGCTAAACTTGATCTTCCAGGTTTAATCTTTGGTGCATTTTCTTCCACTGATTGAGTAATCTGTTGTTAATCCTATTCCAGGTTAGAAGTCATGATTCTGCCCCTTCAGAAAGCAAATTACTCATAGTCTGAGTTCAATTTTATGCCTTTTTCTTTTATACAATTTGTTTTATAAAACAGTGTTTATGTGAAAAACAAAAACATGAATTTAAAAAGAAAAACCAGAATGAAACGTCTCTTCAAAACCGTTTGCTGTAAAACTGAGTGATTTATTGAATATGAAATGTAAATACACAAGAAAAACAAGCCTGCAGCTCAACGACTTTTAATTTTCCTTCCTGACTGACAAATAAATGCATTTTCACCGTATGATCAATATTCATCTGGTTGTTTTTTAACATTAAAGGGAAGAATAATGAGGCGGAGCGGAGTCCAGCTCCAGCAGCCTTTAAAACGGCTCGGCTTCAGCTGCAGGAAATAAAGCTGAAAAACAGAATATAACTCCCTGATGAATACACGTCTGTAGAGATGAATTATAATAGTCAGCCTGGCGTGACCTTAACACACACACACACACACACAGAGTTATCGGCCTCCTGTCAAAGAAGCCCATCCATTCGTCTTTTCCTGCCGCCTTTCTCCAAATTAATTAAGCAGAAATGTAAACATTTTAATTGAATGTCAAAGCAGGACCTTAACAACATGCTGCTATGTAAATGAATGTGACACAGCTTAAACCTGTGTGTTTGTATACTCCAAGGTTACAGCGCCTGGTGTGTGTGTGTGTGGGTGTGTGTGGGTGTGTGTGTGTGTGTGTGTGTGGGTGGGTGGGTGGGTGTGTTGGCTGCAGAGTGAAGTGCAAATGTTTTAATTGAATTACCGTCACTTGTGCACTAACTAACCCTCACGGATTTAAACCAATAAGGCTTGAATGAACCTGCGGTGGAAACGGAGCTCATAAAGCTGGTCACTGATTTATCGCCAAACATCCCGACTCCCTCTGCTCTCCTGCTCGGAAACACAACCTGCATGGTTTTGTTCTTAGAATTCACTTTGGACTTTGACTGGACCATTTCAACAACTTTTACTCCTGAGGTCGAGCTTCAGAGCTACGGCAGGCTGTTTTGACATAAAATAATCTTCAAATCTGAAATTGATTCATGATTATTAGTTCGTAAGTTTTCCTCTAATTTCATTCAGGCTAGCAGAAATTACAACAGATTTATCTTTAATATTTTATGATATGATACATTATTTAAAGATATCTGCAATAAATTGACTATCTGATACGTATATTTCAGATTGCAACAATTAAATTGTCTAATGTAAAAGTTAATTTAAGATTTGTCAGTTTTGTTCTGACTAAAAGTGAGAGAACATGACTGAAGTCATAATTAAAAATGTTCTAAATGTGTTTTTATATGTCAGGCATATAAAACTCAACTAGTTTAAGTTACATTTTGAATAACTTGAAAGCAAATAATGACTCCGCAAAGCTAACTAAGGGATATCTGGAATTGTATTTAACTTTCAAATTAATTAGATATATCTTGGGGGGGAAAATCTAGGCGTTAAGGATACCTCAAAACGACCCAGATTTATGAAGCATTTCGACATTTTGATGAAAAAATTCAAAATGATTCTAAAATTGCTCCATTTTCAGCTTGTTGGTTGCCAGTTGCATTTTTTTTTGCTCCTCTGAGCCGTTTAAAAGTGCAATGTGTCTTTAATTTCACAGTTTCTGTCTCTTTATATCCCACACTGCTGAGTTTTTCCTCTATTTTCTGACTATTTGTGCAGGAAATAAAATGCTCTGCAAACTGAACGGCTCAGTGGAGCTGAAAAAAATTAATTCTTAATTCAGATTTCTAAAAATGTAGTTTTGACTCCTACTTATGTTTCAGATATCTTTAATTGTTTAATTACAGGTGATGAATTTGGTGACATTATTTGAGATAATTTTGATAGGAATTTGACTTGTATGTAATTGCAGATATTTTGAATTAGGATTCAGGATCACTGCAGATGTGTCTCCAAACTACCCTTCAGATATCTGGAATGTAATTACTGATGATGAAACTGATTTTATGTTAAAATGGCTTGCCATATCCTGCAGTGATCCCAGTTTGGACAAAGCTGCAGCTGTCAGACAGACATTTGACTCCAGAGGAGTTCATATGTGACTCTGACTGCTGAAACATCCCACATCACCACCCTGCCACCGCCATGCTGACGGTTGGTAATGTGCTCCGTCTGTATTATCATCAAACATCTCGACTTTCCAAGAAGATGCAGGTTTGCAAACTTGTTTCAGACCCTGTGAAAAAGATTCACCACTTTGGATGTTTCACAATTTTATTGATTTTAAAAATCAAAAATGGTTTACTTTTTGACAAAAAAGGAATAAAAACTTTAAAATCAAAAGCAAAATTGATTTCTACAAAAATAACAATCACATAAAAATATGTAACAAAGTGAAAGCATAAATATTTCCCTTGGTGAAAGAGGTTGACCTGATTCAACTGGTGCTGCTTGTCTCAGAGTGAGTGGAATAAAAGTCCCGTTTATATCCACTAAGTCGTCTGATGGTTATGTCAGATTCTGTTTCATTTTTATTTTGTCTTGTTTCACTTGCTGTGCAGCACTTTAGGTTTTTAAATAAAGATGGAACAGTTTCTGTATTTGAAATCTTGCTGCTAGAGGCTTTAACTCAGTGATTTAATTGCATAGTTTTAAAATGTGTCTTATAGAAATGAACATAAGTGTTTGAATTAAAATCTGATCATTACATGGAGAAGTAAAATGGTAGAAGTTGATTTTCTGCAGGTTTTTTCAGCCAGAATGTTTTATGATGTAGGAACGTCTTTGAATGAGGTCAGTGTGGCTGCAAGCTGAGGAAAACTTTAATTATTAATTCAGTTTTTATTATGATGAATGTGCAGGTGTTTCAGTTTTTTGTTTCTGCATCGTTTTAATTACTGATCCTGGCTGGAAACCGTTTCTCCTTCTTTAAGGAAAGTTGCATTTCTTCATGGCTGCTGTTGAATCTGCAGTCTCCTCACACACAGGAATACAAAGCTCTGCTAAATAAACTCTTGTTAATAATGCGTTGTTTTTTTTCTGTCTTTCCTGCAGCCGTCTAAATAATTAGCTTTTGTTGTAGAAAATGATGAATTTGGGCAGTTAATTTATTGATCGGCCGGCGCCTTTCGATGTGCTTTGCTTTAGAAAGCCATTAATCAATGGATGAAAACACCTAATTCTGCTCCTGCTCTGCTTTTCTCCCTTTTCTCTCCGTTTCTTCTCTGTTTTCCGTCTCCCCAGCGACCGCATGGAGAGAAATTATGATTTGAACTAAAAATGATGATGAAGACGGAGAAAAAAATGATAATCCAACAGAAAACAGATTACTGTGTTTTTATCTGAAGCTCCAGCTTTAATATTTAAAAAAAAATCCCTTTACACTTTAATAAAACACTCAAATAAAACCAGAAAAGTATTTACAACATCTTACAGCCAGGTGTGTTTGTATTTACAGTGAAAGTGAGCAGTGCGGTTATTAAGAGATGAAACTTATCGGTCAAATGAAACCAAACGTCAGACAGATGGATGATGGGACGTCCAGACTTTGTCTCCAGGTTGTTTGTTCATCAGAATCTGAACTTTTCACTTCCTGGAAAAACTCAGCAAACATGGAGTTAAAAACACTCACCAAAGTTTCTCATTAAGCAAACTCTAAACTGGGAAACTTTGGGAAGTTCATCATTTTCCATCACAGAACTGTGAATATAAATTCATCTGACTCAAACTTTACTGCTTCATGTTTTATGATATGAACCAAGACAAAGTAACTTCAGCCTGGTTTAAAGTGGAAGGAAAACAATTTCCTATCTGAATAGTGTGGCATGCTTTTCCATTCCACCCTCCTACACTCTGCTACCCCCAAAGAAAGATGTCAAATTTAAAACTGGAGAATATCAGCTGAATAATGAGACACTCAAGAAATAAGTTTTTACCAGACTTGGAAATCTTTTTGTGTTTTAAATCAACATTCGTCGCAGGTTCAGGAATAGATGGTTTTAGTTTTCTGGTGTCGTTGAGCAGCAAACATCATTTCAGTCTCTTTCTCATCATGGCAGTGAGGTCAGGTCTGTTCGTCACTGTGGGCAGAGTTTTCATCAGTTTAATTATTACCGTTTTCTCATTGGTCATTTCTGTAACATAAACATTTCAATAAATGTATTAAACACTAAAGAAATATGAATCCCTGTTTCTATGACTATTTTTAAGCTTCGCATTAGAAAAGGTTGGAAATTCAAATGAAGATTCTCAGTTCAAAGTGTTTTTCTGCTGATATGATCATGACATTTTCTGTTTAAGGTGGTTTTTGGCTGGAGATGGAAGGAAATCTGATGAATTTGTAGTGAATTATCAATTAATGTTATTTTAAAAGTTTGTTCGAAGTACCTTGATGTTTTCTTATCGTGTGGCTGGAATAACTCAGTTTGCTGCTCTGATCATGTAAAACCTAAATGAAACTTTCCAGCCTGTCTAAATACACACAGTGGGGATTCTGCTGTCAGCCGGTGGTTTTATTCATGTAGATTCAGTTATTTTGCATCAAACTTCTTTAAGAGCCATGACACAAATCTGACTTTGAAGCTATTTTAGCACGGAGCGAATAAGGAATGATTCATTTTTCAGATTATGAGTCCATATGTGTGTTTTGTGACTTTTCTCTGGATGATTCACAGAAGATGCTTGGAGCTGAGAGGTGAAATAAAATAAAAACAGTTGATGAGGAGCAGCCAGCAGAGGGATTTGAACTTCCAACCCGTGGCAGCGGCGCATTCCTCTGAGCTGAAAAAGTGTCTTTAAACCGACAGGAGTTCATTTTCAGACGCTTATGTTTGTGTTTTTGTTCGTTATCAATCCTGCAGAGGACTCTGGGATGACGAATGGGGCCTGTCAGGCCAACGCCAGTCATAACAATAATAACACAGCTGATGTTATTATCCATAGAAACTTACAATAGCTGATGGACACACACACCCGTTGGGAGTGTGTGTGTGTGTGTGTGTGTGTGTGTGTGTGTGTGTGTGTGTGTGTGTGTGTGTGAGAGGCGACGGGTGGGAAAATTCAGGCTGTTGGATAACAAGTCAGACCCTAAATACAATGAACTGGGCTGTAATCCGTCTTATCTACACACACACACACACACACACACGCAGGCCGAGTGAAAGTGAAAGACGTGCCTGGATCTCGTGAGGTGAGACCACAACAGGACGGCCACCAACCACAGGAGGCGATAGCCAATGTTGTAACAGCGCTAATCTTCATTTTAACAGAGAGCAGGTCCAGCAGAGAACAGCAGGAGAAAAACCAGAAAAGGAGCAAAAACCAGAAACCTTAGAAAGAGTCAGGCAGACGAGGAGTTCCTCAGATGAACTGGTTCACAATGAACTGGTTCACAATGAACTGGTTCACAATGAACTGGTTCACAATGAACTGGTTCACAATGAACTGGTTCACAATGAACTGATTCACATTGAACTGGTTCAGAATGAACTGGTTCATAATGATGAACAAGTTCTTTCCCCACTGGATGGATGGAGTGAGTCATCCATCCATCCATCCATCCATCCATCCTGATGTCTCCAGAGGTCAGAACTCCTCACTCGTTCTTTAGGATGTTATTTTCTTTCTCTTCCATCTTCCATAATCTCATCATTCTGTCATAATTTACACTTTTACTGAAGATTCATCAGTGAATTCATGTTTGTCTCAGTTTGACTTTGACACTTTGGAAAAACTAGTGATGAGTTTCTTCTTGATCAAACCTGAGATGGGGCAGTGACGTCATTGAGTCGTCTCCTGTTGGTCGATAGTGGTACTGCATAATGATTCTCGTTATTTCTCATTTTAATTCCTGCCGACTAAATATGAACAGCAAAGAAAATCAATCAGTTTTTCCGGTTTTGCTAAATATTGTCTGAAAAGTGGCCAATAGCGCCACCTACTGGTGATGCAGTCCGAGGTTAATGCGCGTTTTCTGGTAAGAAGTTTCAGATTTTCTTTTTTTCCTGCATAAGGAAAATTTAAGGATCAGCTCTGAACATCTGAAATCCTGAAAATCTGGACAAAACTCTTGAGACAAACTTTGATGTTTGGGTGAAAAAGGCAATTTAAGACCATATATTACATATCTATTACTGCTGAAACAGAGACAGTTGGAGTCCAACCGGTTCCGACCCAATTATGTGTTTACATGGAAGATTCTTTGAATGAACTGACATGAAGAAAAGAAAAAACACAGGGGCGATGAGGAAGTCCAAGCTGTGGGAGTTTTTGGGAAAATGTGGATGGAGAAAAAGAGGAGTGAGAAAAATGTGAGTTTAAAAAAAAGGAGGCTGAGAGAAACAACGTGTTTTAGAGAGAGAGAGAGAAGGAGAGAGAGGCAGAGAGAGAAAGAGAGAGAGAGAGGAGGAGCGGGTCGAGCAGTTTTGGCTGCGGAGACGCGCTGGACGCAGCGGACTGTCCCGGCTGGTTCTCTGCAGCCCGGAGGTGGAGAGAAGCTCCCCGCTGACTGGACATCAGCACCCGGGCGGTTCGGAACCGATCCGAGCTTTTTAAACAACTTCCGCCTTTAAAACAAACCCGGAATAAACCGGAAGATCCGCGGAGATCCCCGCGCCTTCACCGGCCGACAGCTGCCTCTGCCGGGACGCGCTCGGAGCGGCGCACCGCTGGTCTCCGCTGGACCCAAACGGATCTTCAGTTCATCTGTTCAGATGAAACGTTCTCCAGCAGGCTGCTGAACCACTTCAGACTGAGCAGGTGAGCTTTTACTGTTTCTGCTTTTATGCGCGTAAAATAAAACAAAACTGCAGCGGAAACCAAGATTTGCTGTTGAGTTAAATTAATGAAACTTCAACAGGCTGAAGATTTTATTCAAAGAATCAACAAATTATAAAAGTAAATTATTAAACTGCAAATCTTCAGAAACGTTTAAAAGCTGCGCAATATTTATTATTATTTCTTCTGTTTTAAATAATTAGATTTATTTTAATTTGCTAATAAGCATCGCAGAGATCGCATGGATTTCCTGACACTTTTTACCAATAGAAATCAATCTGTGGAGCTCATGTTTGTTTCTGTTTGCTTGAAATAAAAGCGCGCAGCGCGCGAAGCAATGATCCAATGAACAGTTAAAGAAAAACAAGAAACTTGAACCAAAACTGAACTGAATCTGGTAATTACATGGATAAATGTTTTTTTTTCTAGTCTGAAGCATAAAAGGAAAATGTTCATGTTTTATCTGTTTTGCAGGATGAATTTAGAAAATCTTAAATGTTTTTCTAAATTCAAACTAAATCACTGATTCATTTGTGGGGAAAATGTATTGATTCATATACATTTATATACAATTATTTTTTTATAATTGTCCTGAAGAAAAACCCGATCAGACTAAATGTATCTCAGTTCAAAGTGAACTGAAGTCGCAGTGACGGCAGAGAACCGGTTCTTTCTGTTTGTCCTGTTCTGAATGAATCTGATTGGTTCTGTCCTCTGTGTTTAATGATGCCCTTTGACCCCCGCAGTGCCGCCATGCTGAAGCCGGGTGACCCCAGCGGTTCGGCCTTCCTTAAGGTGGACCCGTCCTACCTGCAGCACTGGCAGCAGCTGTTCCCGCAGGCCCAGCTCAAGGCTCCGCTGGCCCCGCCGCCGCCGCCGCCAGACCGCCTCTCCATCGCCGTGGACGCCCTGCGCCCGTCCCGCCTGCACGCGCACCTCCTGGCCTGCACGTCCTCTTCCTCATCTTCCTCCACTTCCTCCTCCTCCGCAGCTCCTTCCTCCTCCTCCTCCTCCTCCATCTCCGCCCCCGCAGGCCTCGCTCAGCTGCCCGTCCCGCAGCAGATCGCGCTCTTCGGGCAGGCGCTGGCCCCGGCGCCGGGGGCCGCGGCGGACCTGGTGGTGGTGGTCCCCCCGGACAACCAGCAGGGCCACAACCCGGCCAAGGAGCAGCGGTGCGCGGCGGTCGGGGTGGTGTCGTCCAGCGTGAAGAGCGGCGGCGGCGGTGCGGAGGAGTGCGGGAAGGCTGCGGGGGGGCGATGCAAGCTGACCTCCGAGGAGCTGGACTACTACCTGTACGGCCAGCAGAGGATGGAGATCATCCCGCTGAGCAACCACACCGGGGAGCTCAACAACCGTAGGTCACACACACACACACACACACACACACACACACACACACACACACACACACACACACACACACACACACACACACACACACACACACACACAGATGTTTCCGCGCTCTGCAGACATCCACCCATCAGTCTGTGACCTTTAACCTTCAGATCTCCTTTGATCTGGACATGAAAACATCCAGCAGCATAAAAAACTAAAGTTTTTATACATTCAAATAATTTTGCATATTTCTGGTGTGAGTTGATTTAATTGTTTAAAAATATTAAACTTATGTTTCAATCAGCATCATGGCAGATCACAGTGTTTATATACATATATATATACATATATATATAGCCTTTATAGTTTTTCATTTAAAACTTTATTTTTTCTGTCATATTGTTTCTGAACAAAATCTGACATTTTCCATTTTCTTTGGCTAAAACCAGAATCAGGTGAAAAATAACGGAAACCTTGAATTTGAAATGAGGCTTTTGGACAGCAGCAGCAGGAGGGAGGATGGGGTGTGGAGGGTCAGAGGTCAAAGGCCAGCAGCCCAGCAGGCTCTGAACCTGCAGATTGTCTTTTAAATTACTTTTTTTTTCTGCCGGTTTTCTGTTTCTGATTATAATTTTGTCGAAATCAAATAAACAAGTTAAATTATTTTCGCTCATCTGAAGAGAAAAAAACATTTATCAGTGTCTATTTTTCTCATTTTCCCAGTTTATCATAATTTATTAACAATAATCGTGACGGACTTTTATCTTTTCTTCAGTCTTTACCTCCTGTGGATGCGCGCGTTCGTGCGCGTGCACGGACATTGACAGAGTCCCTTCATGCGTGAAAACCACGCACACTTCCACGCGCACGCGACCTGGACTCTCCTCTTGCGCACGGCGTGGGCCGCTCAGCGCGCGCGCGCTCTTCCGTCACAGCGCGCGCCAAGCGGCTCTTTGAAGCGGCGCGTGCGGGATCAATTTAAAGGCGCGTGTCACGCGCCCCGTGGGATCGGTTCATTTCCCATGAATTGTTCTGTTTCCACAAAACTTAATCATTTATATTTGATGATTTTCCTAAAATGAGAGGCAGAAGTTCCTGTCAGAGCGCGAGGATAATAATAATAATAATAATAATAATAATAAATAATAATAATAATAATAATAATAATAATAATAATAATAATAGAAAGTCACAGAGGATTCAGATAATAAATAATAAACGTTTAAAAAAATATTTGAGCATTTGGTTCCAATATTGTGAATAACTGTAAAATGTAGATGTTTGCTATTTTTTCTGCATAAACTTAAGTTTCTGTTAGAATAAATAAAATTTAATATTAATTTAACTGTAAATTTTTTACATTCTTAATTATTTTGCAAATATTTCAAATTAATTTGTGTCCATGTTGAATCAGATTTATGTATTTATGCAACAATCAGAGAAATGCTGATTCATAACATATCTACAGGCCTGCAGGGAAATAAACGATTTCTTCCTATGATCAAATATTTTAAATATTATTATTAAGGAAGTAATAATTAATCGAAGCGCCATGATTCCTCCTGCTCCTGGCTGATGGAGTTTCTAAGCCACAGAAAATAACTAATAAATATTTTAATATTAAGTTTAATCTGTTAAACTTTTAACTGTTTTGCTCTCAGAGCAGAAATTGATTCTAGTTCCATTAAAAGGATATTATTTTACTGAATAATAATAATAATAATAATAATAATAATAATAATAATAATAATAATAATAATAATAATAATAATAATAGTAATAATAATTTAAATGTTTTAATTGAATAAAAACGTCTCTCTCTAAAACAGACTTTATTATTCGGTTATTTTTCCAGTTTTCATTTTCTGATCCTTTTTGCCACTTTATCAATGGAGCTGCTGATTTATTCTGATGTGGAGAGAAAACCTTCTGGAAGACTGGAAGCTGGAAACTGGATGCTGGAAACTGGAAACTGGAAGCTGGAAGCTGGAAGCTGGATGCTGGAAGCGTTGACTCTGATCTTCTGGATCAAAAACCTCCAACATCTTCAGATCATCTCCTTCATCCTCCTCCTCCTCCTCTTCCTCCCGGCTGTCTGCGGCCTAAAAGCCCCGCCGCCCCTCGTTGTTCATCCCGCGGTGATAAAACGGACCATCAGCAGTAATCTGAGTCAATACGCTCCGGCAGCCCGATGAGGGATGGAGGGACAAGCAGGAATTAATTGCTGTATATAGTTTTGTGTTTGTGGAGGAGAGAGGGGAGGAAGAGGAGCAGAGGGGAGGAAGATCGATCCACCGGCCTGCCGGCCCGCTATTTATCATCCCAACACGGCCGTATGCAGGTCTCTGGGGTGTGTGTGTGTGTGTGTGTGTGTGTGTGTGTGTGTGTGTGTGTGTGTGTGGAGGGGGGAGGTGTAGATAAAGTCACACACTCACATGTCACTGTCTGACCTCCAGTAACAATTAAACCAATAATAATAATAATAATCAGAATTAATTCAGGTCATTTTTAGTCTTTAAATTAATAATTTCTGTTTATGTCTGCAGTGATTAGTTTCAAATTGTTTTATTTGAATTCATAAAACGATCAGATTTAAAGGTTCAAACTGTTTAGTTTTGTTTCATAGAGAATAAATATTAAATTATTATAAGATAATTCCTGAAGCATGCAGCAGGACATCAGTTTGAAATTAATTTAAAAATTGAGTTACGTTTTCATTTTTTCATTTTGGATTTTTTCTTTATTTTTTCTTTAACATTCAAAATTTTCAGAAGTTTTATTGAAAAGCAGAGAAATGAATAAATTTCTTCAGGAGAAGAACTTTGTTCCAAAATGCAGTGAGTTCAGTGAACCTCTGAGTTTTAAACTTAAAGAAAAACTTGATTAGCTTTAATTTTAACATTAAAGGGTCAGTCACACATTTTGCTCCAGCTTCATTTAGAGGACAAACTGACATCGACATTTATATTTAGACTGAAAACGGAACATTTTCAGTGGCTCAGTTTGAAACTTTGAATAAAATCTGATTTACGACAAACACACAAGGCCTAAAGACACAGAGGCAACTGAAGCAAAAGCAACACAAAGACACAAAACTGTGAATTTAACACATCAATGTTTAAGAAGGTTTATAAAATAATAATATGATAATGTGTTGGTTTAACTCTGCAGAATTTACTGTGTACAATAAAGTTAGAATTAATTAGGAATTTTTATCCTTTTATATCTTGTATCTCAGAACCTGAACATTCAGCAAAAGGAGCAAAAGCAGAAAACCAGGCAGAATTTGGACTTTTTGATTAAACCTGAAACGTCTTCAGTGATTTTCTGAGATGCATTTTGATCAGATCCAGTCAGACGTGATTTTATTGGAGGATGAGGAGAAACGAGACGATGAAGAGCAGAAGCTCCTGCAGCTCCTTACGCCTCGTTAGTGGCTGAAGTGTTTCGGAGGAAACGCAGCGGTTCTGTTAGTTCTGTTGGTTCTGTTGGTTCTGTTGGTTCTGTCGGTTCTGTTGGTTCTGTTGGTTCTATTGGTTCTGTTGGTTCTGTTGGTTCTGGTGGTTCTGTTGGTTCTGTTTGTTCTGTCGGTTCTGGTGGTTCTGGTGGTTCTGTTTGTTCTGTCGGTTCTGGTGGTTCTGTCGGTTCTGGTGGTTCTGGTGGTTCTGTTTGTTCTGTCGGTTCTGTCGGTTCTACAGACGGTCTGTTTGGGTTCATCTTCTGAGTATAGGTTCTGTACTCATTTTCTTTCATCTTTCTTTTTGTCACATTCAGTTTTTTAAACCTGAAAAAGCAAAATTAATATTTAAATTAACGATGAAAGTTGTCAGCTTTGAAGAAAACCTCCAATGTTTTAATTGTTCTTGTTCCTTATTAAGGAACATTTTCCTTCTTTAATTCATAGTAGTTTTAGTTTTAACTAAATCAATTAACGGAGCAAAAGTTCATCTTCCAGAAGGAAATGATTTCTGATTTGTTCTCGAAGAGCAGAGTTTTGTCTTTTGAAGCCACTTAATGCCATTTTATAAAAAAAGAAATAAGTTACCTTCAGTTTCTATAAAACGCTGGATATAAAACATGATTTAAAACATTTTCTTTCTGATTTAATGTCTTGAAATTTGGCCTTTATCTCTTTTAAAACTCCTGCTCTTTCTGAAGCTTCATCACAACATGGCTCCTTTATTAACCCTTTAACAACATTTGTATCAGCGTTTCACTGAGAAGTATATTGAGCTCAGTATATGTGCAGTTCCACCAGGTGTTTGCTAATTCCTGCTGGCTAGTCTGAAGGAGCTTAGTGCTAACGGGAGACTAAATCCTTCAGATGATTTTTGCTAACATTTTGTGAAGAAGGAAGTTGCTCTCAGCGTCTTCAGAGGTTGTTATGTTGTTTCCTGCAGTGGTTCTTGGTGCAGCGCCCCCACAGGCCAGGAGGGGAACAGTTTACTGAGGAGTTTGTTTGGTTTCACTCAGAGAGAAACAGAATCACAGCAGCTGGAGATGGAACAGATGTTGCAACTTTAGTAGCAGCTGAACAGTCTAACCGGACTGCCAGGTGTGAAAACACCGTAAATCTGATGTGAAAATTGTCCAATCAGTGACTGAGATGTCATGAGGATCTCTGTGATCCTGCACACAAGATCTTTACTCCAATCGTATGTTTAGTTTCTGCTGCTTTAGAACCTGCTGGTTCTGACAGGTTCTGTACTCAGCGTTAGCTTTAGATACGTACTTTATTTCTCTAAAGAGTCCATTTGAACTGAATCAGGTTTTTAGCTGTTTTTCAAGCATTTTTCTCTGTGGGATTAAACTGCTTCTGTCTCACCTTTAACTGATAAAGACTTTTATTTGTTCAGCCTGATTCCTGCTGCCTTCAGCGAGGAGCGGGACAGAGTCCGGATCAGATAAATATGTTTGGGCTTAGTGTGTGGGCGCTCTTCATCTAGACTGCAAACAAACACAGATATCATTCATAATCACCATCAGATGATTGGACTGAGGGAGAGTCCAGGAGTTTGTTACTGAACCTCTGGTTTTAATGTTCAGCTGGCAGCAGGTCAGGAAATGCTGCAAAATCCTAACATGAGAGTCAGAGCGTGTTGAGAAACCGGCTAATTCTCATCACTACAGTGTAAAATGTTTCAATTAGAGCAACCATTAAAAAACTCTCAACAGCAATCCTGTAAATTGGAAAGTTTCCCTCCGATTCCTCTGAGGGTTCTGGGAACAGAGCGGCTCAGTCCGTCTGCTGGAGGCGGACCAGAGTACCAGCTCTGACCCGGCTCAGCAGCTCTGACCCGGCTCAGCAGCTCTGACCCGGCTCAGCATTACCAGCACAACACTGCAGCGTTTGGGACATGAGCTGTGGATGTAATCCTGAGGTGTGAGGAGGTTTATCTTCAGAAAGAGCAGCATAAAATAAGAGTCTTTATAGCTGCTAGCTGCCGTCCAGGTCGGGTCGGATTTATCATATGTCATCTTGAAAAATGTCTGATCATGGTGGGTTGTGATGTGATGCGTTTCACTGATTCAGAATGCGTTCATAAGTTCATAGTTATAATTTTCAGCCATTGTTTGCATCCTGATTTATCACTTCTGGATTCTTCTGGTGCAGAATCAGGATGCATGTCTCCCAACAGTAACATAAACGTCAGACTAAATGCAATATGACCGTTCAGGCTGCAGACGCTTCGAAAACAATCCTATTTGATTTAGTTCCACATTTGGACACATTGGGTATCAGAACCGGGTCTGATTCGGGTTGCTGTCGCCTCTGTGACTCTGTGTTTGTGGGCCTGATTTTCTTCTGCAGTCCATCCTTGCACTTCCTGTTTCTTGAAGGTATTGTGTATCTTCAACTTTCTGATAAATCATAAATCTGTTTTTCAGCTGAAATATTTTTAGCAGCAGTTTTCTATCATTTTGATCTCATGATGGTTGCATGATTCTTTGCGAGCATAAGAGGAAAGTAGTTTAGCACAGTGGTACCAGTCATATGGAAACGTTTCGAGTACTCACACAAATCTCTCCACTTTAGGTGAATCCCAGATTTCTGTCCTTCAAATCAAAACAAAAACAAACAAAAAAAAATACATCATTAAAAGAAACACATGGAGAATTTTTCCCATTTACTCAGCCATGAACCAGAGCTGCAGTTTGCGGTTAATAAATGACTTTATTATGATTTAATTAACTTCCATTCATCATGGTGTAAAAGCAGCTGCCAGTCTATCAAATGGAAAATGTTTTCATTTTGGGAAAGTCAGAAAAAACAACATTCACATCCTGTTTCTCTCAGCCTTTGTGGGAGTTTTCTGTCCAGATAATCATCTCTCATTATGTTTCTACAGTCAATTAGCATCCATTACTGTCAGACTGCATCTGTAAGTAAATGTTGACACTCAGTAACTCCAGGCAATGTGCGGCGCGCTACATTAGCGTAGAAAAACACCACAGAGGACTTTTCCCCCTCATTTGGACTTTATTGTGGAAACAGGATCCTTTTTTCATCAGTTTCAGTTTTTCACACAGTCAGGAGTAAAATAATTCCTGTGAAGCGTTTAAAAAAGGTTTTAAAGCAGACTGGGCCAAGCTGCAGACCTGCCTGTAGATTATTATTGAAAACTGAAGACAATCAGGTTTTTAAAGAAGGTGAGTGAAAAACACACAATGAAAATATAATACCGAACAAAATATCAAACAATGCTAACTTAGAGAAATGAAAAAAACCTTCTAAACATATTATTAAATGAAAATAATGTGTTTAGAAGGACCGTTTGCGCAAACAAACACAAACATGCAGTAAATAAATCGATTTTCTACCAGATTTCGCACTAAAGAGTTCAGAACTTTAAGTTTTGCGAGGGAATGCAGATTTTTCCCTCATGTCCCTCACAGGCCTCCGTACTGTCCTTCCCAGTTTGTTTCTGATAAAAGCAGACGATGGTAAGGTATTTAGAAATGTTGTAAATTCTTTATGTTGTTTTATTTATTTGTTTTTGTTTTAGTATTTCTAACTGTGTGAGGTTTTTGAGGGATAAGAATAAACTTTGAAGGATTTTCTTCCATTTATAGACGACCTTGCTAGCGTTAGCAGCTCTAAGCTAATGGCTTCTCAGCGTTAGCACCTCTAAGCTAATGGTTTCTTAGCTTTAGCAGCTCAAAGCTAATGGTTTCTTCCAGATAACTGATGTTTAGGCATAGCATAACAATTCACAGAACCTTACTGATGAACAAATAAATCTAAAAAAAACTGAAAATAGTTTGAAATAGTAATAATCTAATATCAGCATTCTGGAGCTTTGACACTTTGAGCACTACATTAGCAACAAGTGTCTCGCTAAATCTGGTGAACAGGAAGTTAGCAGGTGTCAGCTAAAAGCACATTATAGTTTTTAACCTAACAGGAGATTTTAAAGCAATTTTTAAGTAGTTGATAAACAAGTTTATATCAGATCTGCTGTAAAAACTGTGTTGGTGGCTAAACTGTGTGATTAAACGGAATAAATGGGAAGCCTGGAAGCTAATGCTTCCGGTTCTCTGCAGGTTGCGACATGTGCGCAGATAACAGGAACGGCGAGTGTCCGATGCACGGCCCTCTTCACTCGCTGCGCCGCCTGGTGGGCACCAGCAGCACTGCAGCGCCTGTTCCTCTGCCGGACGTCCCTGATTGGCTGAGGGATCTGCCCAGAGAGGTGACGTCTACATACCTGTCTGTCGTCTGAAATGTAAAATATTTTTGAATGTTTGGATGAAATCTTGATGCTCAAACATAAAGACAAGTTTAATGTGTTGCTAAGCCTCCGATCTACTGATCACGTTTTATTTTTACTTTATGCTTTATTTGTTGCTTTGCTAATTTATTTTGGATATTTAAAATGTACGAATGATCTTTGAGAATGTGTTTTTGCATTATTAGATGATTACCCTTGTCTTATTGAAAATGGCCTCTAAACAATAATATTGTCATAAATTCTGGGAGGTTTTATCATCCATAAAAAAAAATGTTCTTGTGACAAACCTGATCTGAAAACAAAATCAAACAAAAGCATCTAAATAATAAAAAGATGAATAAAGTTAAGAATAAGATTAAAGCATGATTAGTTCATGGAGTTTATCTCCATCTTCCTTCTGCTGCGTTATTCTTAAGCTGAGTTTTAATGATCTGCAGAGTTTTAATGATCTGTTCCTGGTTAACTGCAGGTGTGTCTCTGCACCAGTACGGTTCCCGGTCTGGGTTATGGGATCTGTGCCGCCCAGAGGATCCCTCAGGGAACCTGGATCGGCCCGTTCCAGGGCGTCCCCCTGCTGGTGGACAAGCTGCACTCTGGGGCCGTCAGGAACACCAGACACCTGTGGGAGGTGAGTTCATCCCAACGACGACAAAAACCTTGATGAGCTCAAACTGAGACGATGCTGAAGAAAACATGCAGCGCTCTAAAGATGGACGGCAGAGATGAGCAGAAACCGAAAACCTGCAGTCCAGTCAGAGCGGCACAACGTAGACTTTTGGTTTCATCAGGTAAAAGTAAAAACTATTGGTCTAGAAAATTACCCAGTAAAAATCTACTCAAGTACTCAGTAACTGATCAAATTATCAATCATTTAATATTCGAAAATGACTTCATCAGATGGACTAAAATTTAAAGTTGAGTGGAAATTTTTGTTATTTTAAGGTTGAAAATGCCAATGATTCATATAAGTAACAAAAATAACAAAATCCGGCAAAATATATATATATTTTTTCCAAAGCAGTTTCTCTCAATAAAAACAAACGTATAAAACTTTAACAAAAACTCAGGCGTCTCTATCTGGTGAATGTATGGATAAAACAAGTTTGTTTTTCATTTAATGGGTAGAAAATCCAAAAATTTTACTGAAGTAGGAGAAGAGATACTTCATCATCAAATTAGTAAAAATACTCCAATCAGTTTATGCTTTCAAAAAAGTGACTGAAATAAATGTAATGCAGTAAATGTAACTAGTTATTTGATCCATATTTACATGATAATTACATGTTTTGATCTCGACTTTTTTACCTCATCATAAAGCTGATAAATGGAATCATTTCATGGATTTTTAAAGTTGGAACTGGATGTGAGGTGTCATGGCCGCCGCCGTGTCATTGATCAGAGCAGATTGTTTTACATACAGTGGCAGGAGAAAGTCAATGTGGCCGTTAGCTACAGCTGCATTAGCATGAGACAGCAGGGCGGGACTGAGGCATGCTGGGAGACGGACACGGAGACGGATGAGTCCCCGGTGACCGAGCCGCTAAAGGTCAGCCAGGCGCTGCCGACCGGACATCAGTCTCTCTGCTGCTGAACGGTGGAGGGGATCCTGCAGGGGGTCAGAGGTCAGCGGAACCAAGGGGACAATGGCAGAGGCTAGCAGCAGAAAACAGAAGCTAAACATCGAGGAGGAAAAGGTTTATTAATCATTTTTAATCTAACGAGGAACTGTTGGCCGCTAACAGGATTTATTTCCATTTCTTTAGTTGAAATTCTGCAAAATCTGAAAGATATCAAGCAGATTGTCGAACTGCTGGCGTCAGAAATCAGCTGAGTATCTGATCCTGCCTGACTTTCAGATCCGTTCATCTTCTAGACATCGTTTCTTTAGGCCTGAAGTCGTCCAGGCAGAAAATGGATGTCTGGAAGTTTGGAAACGTTTCCTTTGAAATGTGGAGTGACTGAAGATTTCTGGGCAGTATGGAAACGTTTTATAGAACAAAATGATGTTATCTATTGTTTTATTTGAGCCCAGAGCATTTATTTTGGTCCCTGCTTGGCCCTCAGACCAGCCTTTGGGTCTCGGCGGCCCTGGAGAAACGCTGATCCGATAATCTGCCTCTAACCGTTGCCACAGTATCGGCTGCCAGGCTGCAACCGGTCATTAGGTCTGTCGATGAAGAAACGGTGCGCACAGATCTCATTAAAACCAGCGGCTGCTAAACGCTCTTATTGACGCCCCCCAAAACAGGAAGTGATGTCTGTCCTATAGCCAATCAGGGAGCTTGTGTCATGTTGTCTATGGCGTTCAGGAAGGCCCGGCTTTAATTGAGATACTTGCCGTTACGTTTGCCGTTACGTTTGGATGCAGGAGTAAAGGATTTTCTGGCGCTGCAGTATTTTACGACGAGATAAATTGATCTGCTTCCAGGAAGAGTTACGGAGGAATAATCCTGCGTCGCTGTGACCCGAGGCGCCGCAACAAGCGCTGCGTTTTCCTCCAGTGATTCCACTTCAACTCTGAATAAACAGACAAATGAGATTCTGCTACAACAAAGAGACTAAAGGTTGTTTCAGGTTGAAGTCAGGGAGCAGATAAATGCACCTCACATCGTGATTGATCATAATTAATAGATGCGTTATTTGAGTTACCGTTCAATTAGTTTTTTTATTTCTGCATCCAAAAACTCACACAGATAAAACTTTTCTGAACCTCTGAGAGAAAATGAGACGTTTGATCTTTGCTACAGTTGATGCTTTCAAGGACTGGGATGTATCAGTGAGAGTGCAGCTTTCAGACGGACGGTTTGTGCTGATCATTCGGGCCGGACCGGGCCGGGCCTTACGGCGAGCTCATTTGGGTTGGGCCTCACGGCTGGATCGTTCGGGCCGGGCCTCACTGTGCTGATCATTCGGGCCGGACCGGGCCGGGCCTCACTGTGCTGATCATTCGGGCCGGACCGGGCCGGGCCTCACTGTGCTGATCATTCGGGCCGGGCCGGGCCTCACTGTGCTGATCATTCGGGACGGGCCGGGCCTTACGGCGGGATCATTTGGGTCGGGCCTCACGGTGGGATCATTCAGGCCGGGCCTCACGACGGGATCGTTCGGGCCGGGCCTGATTGAAAAGAATGTGCAGTAAAAACAGGAGAAACGCTCGGATGCTCGCCGCTCTGACCTCTCCCTGCTGGCTTTTACACACTTTTTCTTTCGGAGACATCAGAGGCCAAACTGCTGGAGCAGAGTTAGAAAAAACAAGAGACCAACATCTAAACTTCAGAACAGCTTCAGGCAAAATATTTGGCCAGTGTGGGACGCTGATGGGACACTTGAGGACGGAGGAAAATCCAAAACGCCGGTCGGCATGTTGGCTTCACTCTGCATGGTAAACTATTTTCTTTGTGCGAGTGTTTGTCAGCCCGTCCATCATGCTGCTGCTGCAGATTTCCCCCGGACTCTTTGCAGCGGTTTGTGGTTGCAGCGTTCGCCTCGGCGCTGCTTTGCTTTCTGACTGATGTCATCATTTCATGTTTGTTCTCTGGGTTTTATTAAAGGCTCCCATCGCCTTTGACATCATCGCTCTGTTTACAGAATCGTAAATGGTTTCTGTCAAACATCACATGGTTTTCTACATGCTTAGATTTCAGTGAGGCAAACGTGTTTTTATCACAGTGATGATATGAGGAATCTGCAGCTATTAATGTTCCTCTGCTTATTGTTCTTTGATGGAAACTTGTGTTTCCTGCAGAACTTCAGACATTTTCTGGTGAACTTTCCAGAAACTCAACCACTATTTTCCTCCTTTTCTTCTCCTCCTGTGAGGAGCTGCGTCTGTGCTGCGTTCACACGTATGCTGATGATATCCAGTTTAATGGAGCCCAGATATTACAGTACATGACAGAGGAGAGAGTGTTTTTCATGGCTGATGTTGTCATCGCATTCTTGAACTGTAATTTCACAGCTGTGTTTTTCTAACACCGTCTGTTTCTTTGTTAGTTTTTTATTGGATGTTTCCCAACCTGTGGGTCTGGTGACATCCACTGGGACGTCTTGGTGCTCTACCTCTGGACCTCTGTTGAGGTTATCACTTTTCAGAAATCTTGAATTTCTTTGCATGTTCAAAATCTGTCAGATAAACTTATAGCAATAAGCTGTTAAGTTTTTATTAATGTTGAACAACGAGGGTTTTAAAGTTGGCACCCAAAAAATGTAAAGAACAAAAGGAGGTGGAGTTTTTCCCAGGATGCTTAGCGGCAGGTTTTGTGTCCTGTGTTATTGTCAGTTTGTCTGAAACTGTTCAGAATAAGCATCTGAGCAATAATTCATTGTAATTATTATTATTATCAGGTCTTTTATTTATGCTGTTCAATTTGGATCAAACATTAAAATTAGTGAAAATCAAGATAAATAAAATAACTAAGTTTAAAATGTGAGCTTGTTCAAATAGATGAAGAGTTTTTTGCATAATGTGAAATAATTTGGTCTAAATACAGCTTTAAGTTCTAACATATAATGAGCTATTTAAAATGATAAACAATGTTTAACTCATCTTTTGTTGTTAAATCAAGACAATTTTCTAGTTGACTTGATTTTTTGCAAGTTAAATTGTGAAAAGTTTTACAGTGCAGGAGTCGACTTGTCTCCAACCTGAAGCTGCATATTTTGGTTTTGTCAGTTTGTCAGCCATAATTCTGTCTCTTATAATGAGTTTATTTTCCTTTTCTCCATTCCAAACGCTGAAAGACAGAAAATAAAAACCGTGAATATAATTACAATAAATAATATAAATAAAAGAAATGACTCTCTTTGAAAATTGTGTAAATAATAGTTTTTAGCTTCTGAGATGTTGAGCAGTAAATAATGGATCCTGAATAATAAAAGCTGTTTCTGTTCTGTGAAGTGGAGCCGGTCCGACCAGCTGCACCTGAACAGCGTGTGGCTGTTCCTGGTTTCACTGCGATGCTCTGAAACACCTGGAGAGACGAGAATTTGAGCCGCTGAGAACTGAACAAAATCTCTGAATAACCAGAAGCTGAGAAAAAGTGAAGTTGTGAAAACATTTTGATAGATGGCCGCCGACTCGAACAACTCGTCCACTTCAGGTGTCTTGATATCCTCTGAATTTCTGCTGCAGTTTATGGCTGAGTCACATGATCAAGAAATACGGAATCACTGCTGAGGAAACAACTTATTACTAACATGACACCAAACCGTTTGGTGCCATAAAATAATTAAAAATAATTACATAATGTTTTTATTCTGGCAGAACAACAAAAACTCAGAGGGATTGTTGTGACTAAAGCTGCGTTTTTATATAAATCTGTGGGATTATTTAATCTGCAGCCGCTCTGGATTTTCTGACAGCTTCAATCCTTCATCATCACTGAATCCTGATTTCATCCAATCATCACTGATTCTTCTGACACTTTTCACATTAAATATCATTTCTTTCAGCTGAGACACAAATGCTGTTTCCTATTTCTGAAATTTGTTTTTCATTCCTTTGTTGTACATTTTTTGTTTTTGGATAATTGCTCAGTTTTCCATCCTGGTGAAACTGTTTCCCTTTATGTTTGTAAGTTTCAGACACGTCTGACTGAGAGCAGCTGGTTTACCTCCTGTATCCTCTGG